TTGCAGTGAGCCAGGATTGCACCACTGCACTCCAGCCTGGGTAACAGAGTAAGACTCTGTCTCAAAAAAAATAAAAGGAATCCAAGGCTGGGCACAGTGGCTCACACTTGCTGAAGCCCAGGAGTTCGAGACCAGCTTGGGCAACAAAGTGAGACCCTGTCTCTACAAAAAATTAGAAAGTTAGCTGGGCATGGTGACATTTGTCTATGATCCCAGCTACGTGGGAGGGTGAGGTAGGAGGATTGCTTGAGCCTGTGAAATCGAGGCTGCAGTGAGCCATGATTGTGTTACTGTACTTCAGTCTGAACAACAGAATGAGAGCCTGTCTCAAAAAAAAAAAAATGCAGTAGTGGTAGCAAGGGCAGTATGGATGACCATGCTTGGCTATGAGCTGATCACTATGGAAGCTCGGTGGCAGGTGCCAGAGCTGAATGAGAGGAGGAGGAGCAGTGTGCGGGTGCAGAGGTGGAGCGGGAGAAGGGCTTTCCAGGAGGAGAAATGGGATTCAGCCCGCCTGTGCCTGCAGAGGGCTGTCTCCTGAAGCCTCATATGTGGTCATTTGGCATCTGGGAAACCGTTCCCTCACCAAGCCCTCTCCTCTGTTCCTCTGTCACTATCTCCAAGGTTGTCCTTACGCCATTCTTACCCTGTGTTATGGTGGACTGTGCATGCTCCTTCTCTCCACTCACACCAGCCTGTATGTCCTCAGGGCTGGGAAGATCAGTCCAGTACTGTCTGAGAGGTCCAGTCCCTAGCACAGTCCAGTGGACAAAGGTCCAGTCCCTTTGTCAATGCTGATTATTTTTTAGCTCTTAGAAATTTCTTCCTTTTGTTTAGTAAAACATTGCCTCCTACAACTTTAAACTAGCTCCTCTCTTCTCCCTGCCCTATCCCCTAAAACAGAAGGAATCTACTTCCTTAGCATGTGATGCCCTTAGGTATTTAAAGAATGCTGTTTTGTTTTTCATTCAACATTTATGTAGCCAGGCACAGTGCCAGTGTTCCGTTAATTATTTTCATATTCACACAGAGTGGCCTCCATTCCTTTGGTCATTCTTCAAGGAGCTTAGTTTCCAGCCTTCCAGCTCATTGCTCCTCCTGGAAAGTCCTTCTGCCTGCCCCACCTCTGCGCCCACATACCGCTCCTCCTGCCACTCAGCTCTGTCACCCACCTCCCAGCCTCCATAGTGATCAGCTCACAGCCAAGCGTGGTCACCCACACTCCCCCTGCCCCCACTACTGGATTCATTGTTTTAGTGGTCTTATTTTTTAGAACAGTTTTAGATTTACAGAAAAATTGAGAAGATAGTACAGAGAGTCCCCATATGTCCCTCTCTCAGTGTCCCCTGTTATTAACATCTTACATTAATACGTCTTTGTTAGAGTTAATGAAGGTGGTGTCTGCTTCACTTCAATTTGTTAATGTTTCAGAGTAAGGTGCTCAGAGCTGAACACAGGGCACCACAGGACACTGAGGCCTGGGCAGGATGGAGGCATGACGTAAAAGGCCTTGCTTAGTTTGGTAGACGGTGACAGGAGGGGAGGCTGTGTCAGGAACAGGAACAACAGGGTCTGTTTTGTCCAGGCCCTGCAATGCTGGAACAGGGAGTAAGGCCTTGATTTCCTAGAAGTCCTGGAAGGCTTTGGGTGGGGACTTAGCAAAAGGACCTGGCTGCTGCTTCCCACATAGGGCCAGCACATAGAAGGCCTTCAACAAATATTTGTTAACGTGACCCCTTTGAAGAAAATGTCTGTGGATGCCTCTGTGAGGTGCCTGTGATAGGACTCTGAGCTCTCTGTGTTGAGGCCCCGACTTCAGCTGTAGGAGAATGAGAGTGGTAACTGCTTGTCGACCCCGCCCCCTGGAAGGTGGGTCACATTATCCTCACCCTTGGGAGTAGCAGTGTGGAGCTGGGTCAGCCCTGGGAACAGCAGAGGGTGGGGCCTAGGGTAGAGGGACCCAGGTTTTGAGCCAGGAGATATAGGAAGTCCAACTTCTCCATGGAACAGGCAGGCTGAGGCCTCTGAAGTGGTCAAGACTGGATGGGCCAGAGCCATGGACATCGCAGAAGAGAGGTGGCAAGCAGCACTTCTTATTCTCATTTTGCTTCTAATAGTTGGCTGTATGGCCACGGGCAAATCACTTTCCCTTTCTGAATCTGTGTCATGAGAAAATGAGGAGATTCATCTGGGTGAGCTGCCACCTCTAAAGTTGTGTGACTTCATTTGGGTCACTCATTCAGCAGATATTCCTTGAGCACCTACCATGCTCCAAGCATGGCACAAAGTGCCAGTGTGGCTGAGTAAACTGACATAATTCCTGCCCTCATGGGGCTTATGATCTAGTCAGGACAGACAATAGGTAGCTAGTAAATACATAGAAAATTACAAATTGCTGTTAGGAATGGAATGGAAAGCAGGGTGGGTGGAGAGATTCTTAAATGGGGTGGCTAAGGGAAGGCTGCTCTGAGGAGGTGATGTTTAAGCTGAGACCTGAATGATGAAAAGAATAAGCTATGGGGCTGGGCACAGTAGCTCACACCTGTAATCCCAGCACTTTGGGAGGCCAAGGAAGGAGGATCGCTGAGGCCAGGAGTTCGAGACCAGCCTGGGCAACATGGTGAAACCCCGTCTCTACCAAAAACAAAAATTAGCTGAGTGTGGTGGTGCACACCTGTAGTCCCAGCTACTCAGGAGGCTGAGGCAGGAGGATCTCTTGAGCCCAGGAAGTTGAGGTTGTAGTGAGCTGAAATCATCCAACTGCACTCCAGGCTGGGGACAGAGTGAGACTTTGTCTCAAAAAAAAAAAAAAAAGAATAAGCGATGGAACAACCTGGCAGAAAAGTGTTCCAGACAGAAGTGGCAAGTTCAAGGTTCAAGGCAGGAGGGAGGAGGCGTGTTGAGGGGATTGGAAGGGAGGGCAGGGTGGCTGGAACAGACTAAGCAAGGCAGCAGTGACACGAGGCTGAGATGGAGGGCCTGGAAGGGTGAGACAGCCCAGGCCTTAGGAGGCATGAGGAGATTTATTTGATCCCAGGTGCTTTGGGAGGCTATTTGAAGCATCTAGCCAGAGAAGCAACTGACTCCAGCTGTGTGCCTGCAGCATGTGGGTTGGAGGTGGCTGAGAGAGCAAGCAGGACAGCAGTGCTCCTGAGTGGATCCCTGGTTCAAGGCTGGGCTCTGCCACTTTATGTTTCCTTACCTTGGGCAAGCTACTTAACCTCTTTGTGCCTCAGTTTCCTCATTGTAGTTGCTGAAAGCACAGACTCTGAAGACAGACCACCTGGTTCAAAGCCTAGGTTTATTGCTTTCCTGATGTGTGATGTTGGGCAATTTTCTTTTCTTTTCTTTTCTTTTTTTTTGAGACGGAGTCTCCCTGTCTCGCCCAGGCTGGAGTGCAGTGGTGTGATCTCGGCTCACGGCAACCTCCACTTCTTGGGCTCAAGAAATCCTCCCACCTCAGCCTGGGACTATAGGCATGCACTATCACACCTGGCTAACTTTTGTAATTTGTGTAGATGTGTGGTTTCACCATGTTGCCCAGGCTGGTTAAAATTCCTGGGCTCAAGTGATCTACCCCCTTGGGACTCCCAAAGTGCTGGGATTACAGGTGTGAGCCACTGCACCTGGCACCTAACTGTTTGATTTTTGTCGTAAGTCCTAAGGAAGAGAAAACAGATTTACTCAACAAAAAAAAGAGAGAGCTGTAATTAGACGTTGGGGAAAATTTGAGAGCAATAGTGGCAGTGAGATTGCTGGAGTAGGACAGTGGGTAATCTGATTTAGGTGCTCTTCTAATTCCAGGGTCAGAGGAATTCCATGTCATGTAGCAAAAAGGGCCCAGGATTTCTCCTGCTGGTCATTTGCTCAGTGATCCCAGATAAATTCACCTCCTGTTTGAGGCCTTCTTTTTCCCATCTAGAAAATCTGCGGGTAGGCCAGGCACGGTGGCTCATGCCTGTAATCCCAGTACTTTGGAAGGCCAAGGCGGTGGATCACCTGAGGTCAGGAGTTCGAGACCAGCCTGAGCAACATGGAGAAATCCCATCTCTACTCAAAATACAAAATTAACCGGGCGTGGTAGTGCATGCCTGTAATCCCAGCTACTAGGGAGGCTGAGGCAGGAGAATCGTTTGAACCTGGGAGGCAGAGACTGCAGTGAGCTGAGATTGGGCCACTGCACTCCAGCCTGGACAACAAGATCGAAACTCCGTCTCAAAAAAAAAATAAAAATAAAAATAAAAGAAAATCTGCAGGCAGACCTGGCCAGTCTCTGAGGTCTAACTTTCTGTGACTTCTCTCCCGAGGGTCTTCACCAGGCCTTCCTTCCAGAGGGTGAATGCGACACACGACCCTTGATCCTGATGAGCCTGGGAAATGAGTTGATACGGATAAGGAAGGAAATATTTTATGAACTGATTGACAATGATGACGAGGTGATAAAAAAGTTGTTAAAGCTCAATATTGCATTCCCCAGGTCAGTACTGGAAATGTGCGTAAGTCCCATTAGGTGAAATGAACAATTTTTCACCTGTTATTTTAGTAAAAGAAGGAAAAATGTAATACCTACTGCTGACAAGGGTGAAATGAAATGGGAGTTGTTGGTACACTCTAGATAGGCTCAATCCGTTTGATGATAATTTTAGCATTACATTTCAAATGTTATAAAACTGTCTTGACACTTTGAGACAGAGATTCATCTGTGAATTTATAGAGCCAAAATATGGAGAAAGCCCCTGCATTAAGATGTTCATTGCAGGGTCAGGCGCAGTGGCTCACGCCTATAATCCCAGCAGTTTGGGAAGCCGAGGCAGGCAGATCACTTGAGGTCAGGAGTTTGAGACCAACCTGGCCAACGTAGTGAAACCCCATCTCTACTAAAAACACAAAATTAGCCAGGCGCAGTGGCACATGCCTGTAATCCCAACTACTCAGGAGGCTGAGGTAGGAGAATCGCTTGAACCTGGGAGACAGAGGTTGCAGTGAGCTGAGATGGCACCACTGCACTTCAGCCTGGGTGACAGAGTGAAACTCTGTGTTAAAAAATAATAAGGCCGGGCGCGGTGGCTCACGCCTGTAATCCCAGCACTTTGGGAGGCCGAGGTGGGTGGATCACCTGAGGTCAGGAGTTTGAGACCAGCCTGGCAAACATGGTGAAACCCTGTCTCTACTAAAAATGCAAAAATTAGCTGGGCGTGGTGGCGGGCACCTGTAATCCCAGCTACTCGGAAGGCTGAGGCAGGAGAATCACTTGAACCTGGGAGGCAGAGGTTGAAGTGAGCCAAGATTACGCCATTGCACTCCAGCCTGGGTGACAGAGCGAGATTCCATTCAATAATAATAATAATAATAATAATAATAATAGTAGGCTGGGCATGGTGGCTCACGCCTGTAATCCCAGCACTTTGGGAGGCCGAGGCAGGTGGATCACCTGAGGTCAGGAGTTTAAGATCAGCTGGCCAACATGGTGAAACCCCGTCTCTACTAAACGTACAAAAAATTAGCCAGGTGTGGTGGTGGCCATCTTTAATCCCAGCTATTCAGGAGGCTGAGGCAGGAGAATCACTTGAACCTGGGAGGCACTCCAGCCTGGGCAACAAGGGCGAAACTCTGTCTCAAACAAACAAAAATAATAATAGTAAATAAATAAAGTAAGATGTTCATAGCAGCCATATTCATAATAGAAAAACAATGACAACAACATTCATGTGTGCCACACTAAAGGGATAGTTTACAAAATTGTGGTATTTTCTCTTGATAGAACATAATTGTTTTATTTAAAAAATGGTAAGCTTAATGGCTCTGTAACAGCAGGGTAAAATGGGTGATATAATGATACTGGAAAAGGGCAGTACAGAATTGTACAGGTGCTATGACTATGCCTTTGTCAAACACTTACCCGAGAGAAACCTAGAAGGAAATAAGCAAAAATGACAATGCCTGTGGTAAGAGTCGTTTTCTCCGGGAGGTGAAACTAAAGGAACTTTCTGGTTATATATTCCTCTCATATTTGTTCTTGCAATGCGTATGCATTGCTTTTATTTTATTTTATTTTATTTTTATTTACTTATTTTTTTTGAGACAGGTTCTCACTCTGTTCCTCGGGCTGGAGTGCAGTGGCACAATCATGGCTCACTGTAGCCTTGACCTCCTGGGTTCAAACGATCCTCCCAGCTCAGTCTCCCGAGTAGCTGGAACTATAGACATGCACTACAATGCTCAGCTAATTGAAAACTTTTTTGTAGAGATGCGAGTCTCACTATGTTGCCCAAGCTGGTCTTGAACTCCTGGACTTAAATAGTCCTCCTGCTTGGTCTTCCAAAGTGCTGAGATTTACTTTTATAATTATTAAAAATAAGTATGTATCTTGAAAGATTAGATATGTTTTTTCTTCACTTTTTCAGTGTCCAAATTCTCTAGAGTGAATGTTAATGCTTTTATAATGAGAACAAATAGCTTTATTTAAATGTAAAAATTAATTTATTGCCCAGACCAGTGGTCTCAAAACTGTTTTCATCTCACGTTGGTATTACTAAAAAGTGTTCAAGCATGTACTCCCTGGTATGTATATGTAATATAAATAACATCTGTTGATTTGTTTTTATTATATCCACATATAGTATAACTATACCAATATATATTATAAACATATGAAAATTGATCTTTTAAAAGAATAAGAGAAAGATAAATATAAATGAAATCTTACTATTCACATACTCTAGTGGATCTTGTACATCTCCCTGGGTGACATGTCTCTCCACCCCAACTTTGTTTCCTGTGTGTGTGAAAGAGACGGGGTCTCACTCTGTCATCCAGGCTGGCATGCTGTGGCTCAATCTCAACTCACTGCAGCCTCCACCTCCCGGGCTCGAGTGATCCTCCCACCTCAGCCTTCCCACTAGCTGGGACAACAGGCAGGCGCCACCATGCCTGGCTAATTTTTTTGTATTTTTTGGTAGAGGCAGGGTTTTGCCATGTTGCCCAGGCTGGTCTCAAACTCCTGAGCTCAAAGGATCCACCCACCTTGGCCTCCCAAAGTGCTGGAATTGCATGAGCCACCGTGCCTGGCCTCCAACCCCACTTCGGGACCACCAAGCTAGATTCCTGCAAGAGTCTTATCACAGGTTCCTCCCTTTGGTCTCCTCCCTGCCGGATTCTTTCTGCCCACTGTGTTCTTGTTAAAACCCTAATTTAGTTGTGTTAAACTCCTGCTTGAAACCTCTCAATGGTATCTCACTGCCTATAGGATAAAGTCCAAACTCATTGCTACCGCAGTGACCCACTGCAGTCTGACCCCCTACTCAAGCCCCCTGCAGCATCTCCTGCCACCTCCAACTCACTCCAGCAACCCAGGCGGGTTGCCTGCTATATGCTGAACATACCTGGCCTTTGCCAATGCTGGCCCTTTTGCCTGAAATGCTGACCCCAGTCCTGCCTTCATCCTTTGTGTGATAAATTCCTGCTCATTCCGTAAGATTCATCTTCTGCAGCAAACCTCCTCAGACTAACCTGTTTGGGATAAGTACCCCCTTTCTGCACACTCATAATATTCTCTGCACAGCTCTGTCATTGACCATGTTGTGTTGACATATAGTTACCTGTTTGCACAGCTCTTTCCCTTCCACCTGATCAAGTGTTTCAGGAAGGCAGGGCTGTGCTATATCCACTTTTGGTCTCTAGCACCTGTACAGTGCCCAGAATGCAGAAGGTGCTTAATAAATGTTGACTAAATGTGAATGGGCCATACTCATTGCAGAAAATTGAAAAACACTGAACAACGAAAAAGACAAAACCCAAATCATTTGCAATCCTCCAGCAATCCCAGTTCATATCTTCTGTATTTCCTTTTAATGTTTTTTTCACTTCATGAATATGTGCCAAATATGCATTTATCGTCGTGCTCCATTTTCATAATGGAGCTCATACGTCTTACACAATTTTGCATCCTCTCTCTTTTCTTTACTTGCGGTGATATTGTGATCAGACACGGTTTTGGCAGCAGGTGTAGGAAGCGAGTGATTCCAATGGTAGAGAAAGGGGGTATGAAGGCAGACAGGGCTGCAGGTGATTCCAGCCCTGGCCAGTAAGCACACAAAAGGCTCTGACATGAGATCTTCATGACCTTGAGCAATGTGAGGTCTTCGTGACCTTCTCTAGTCTTCCGACTCCAATCAGCAAAACAAGAAAATTAGAGTAGATGAGTAGTTTTTAAAGTATGGAACATATTCCACAGGAGGGTTACAGGATGATTTTAGGTGGCTCACAGATTGACATTTTTAGTTTTAATAGTTATGTATTTATGTGTATGAATTAGAAAAAGCAACATGACTAGCTTACTAACCATGTGATCTGACAGATCTTGTTGCTTAAGACAAAGTTAAAGTAAATATTTAAGTAAAAGAAACTGAACAGATTGAAGGAAAATCATTAGTAATTTTTTTTTTTTTTTTTTTAGACAGAGTCTTGCTTTGTTGCCCAGGCTGGAGTGCAGTGGCATGATCTTGGCTCACTGCAACCTCCGCCTCCTGGGTTCAAGTGATTCTCCTGCCTCAGTCTCCCAAGTAGCTGGGATTACAGGCGCTGCCACTACACCTGGCTAATTTTAGTAGAGACAGGGTTTCACCATGTTGGCCACGCTGGTCTCGAACTCCCGACTTGAGGTGATCTGCCCGCCTCAGCCTCACCTGGGATTACAGGTGTGAGCCACCGTGCCCAGCCTGGAAAATCATTAGTAAATTTAAAAAGCAGATGATATGTAAATAAGGCCAACACTGGGGCAGTCTTGTGAGAAAAACAAGCTGAGAAATACTGGTGGTTCCTTCTGGTTCAAGGATGCCACACTTCTCTGATTCCTGGGTACTACCAATATAGGAAATAGCCATTTAGACCTGCCACTCAAAAAAGGGTTTAAGCAGCCTTAGCTCATTGCATAATGCCTGGCATGTGATGGGGATTGGTTAATATCTGTTGAATGGAAATTCAGAAAAGGTTTACGTAGACTTGCGGGTGGTGGGGGAGCAGATGGAACATTCAGCATCCGCCCTGCTCAGTCAGCATTTGCGGCCCTCATCTAGAATGCTGACTTACAGAATTCTGTCTTATTCATTAATTGTTGAACTCATGCCTTTCTAGACTGCTAAAACAGGCAGAAAACATATCCATTAGCTAGCTCAGATCCCTCAGGTTTTAACCAAAGACTCTGAGGTCCTGAAGATCATAGAGCCAGTGGCAGAGGTACCTGTCCTGTGAATAGTGCAGGCTGGATATCCTGAAAATCACCCCTACAGAGCACAGCGGGGCCCATGCGGGGTAGAATGCATGGCTGCGTACACAAGAAAGTCAGGAAATCCCCCAAGGCCAAAGTGAAGAGAATCACCCAAAACAGACTGATAGTATGAACTAATGCTGGGGATTGCCCAGGAGGGCTTAAGGGCGTCATGGGCTGATTTTTTTTTTTTTTTTTTTTTTTTTTTGAGGCGGAGTCTCACTCTGTCACCCGAGCTGGAGTGCAATGGCGTGATCTCAGCTCACTGCAATGTCTGCCCACTGGGTTCAAGTGATTCTTGTGGCTCAGCCTCCTGAGTAGCTGGGATTACAGGCGTGTGCCACCACACCTGGCTAATTTTTGTATTTTTAGTAGAGACAGGGTTTCACCATCTTGGCCAGGCTGGTCTCGAACTCCTGATCTGAAGTGATCCACCCGCCTGGCTTCCCAAAGTGCTGGGATTACAGGCGTGAGCCACCGCGCCCGGCCATGGGTTGATTTTTTAAAGCCTGAAAGGACAGATGCAGCTTTCAGTTCAAGTGAGACAGGGGATTGGAACTGAGACCACTGTGTGAAGCCGACGCTACCCTGTTCAGTGAAAAAGTAGACTGGAAATCAATGTGAACATCAACATCAGGAAGTGACATAGAGTCTTGTCTGTCTTAGCTTAGAATCTAGGTTTTAAAAAAAATTATCCCTTAAGAATTAGGCATCACTTGCTAGCCCCCTCCTAGGTTTTGGTGAATTCCTTAGCCTCACCCCAATTTCTATGTTTGTGAAATGGGGTGATTGTGAAAATTAAATGAGTTAACAAATGTAAAGTGCTTGACACATGGTAAGTCCTAAGTCAGAGTGAGATGTTGTTATTATTTATTATGTAAGAAATTGGGAGTTAATGGAACTTTTTAAGTGAGGACTACCCAGTAGTGTGCTCAGTGGATGTTTAACAACCAGCTCTCCAAGATGCAGGAAGAGGACTCTAGCCTGCAGTGTTTGCTGATTTCTGTGGTGTAAATACTCCCACCATGGCCAGTTTCAAACTACCAACCTGCTGCCACAAGCATGGAGTTGAGAAGAGGTGCACATGCCCAGCTTTCATGAGCGGGGGGAAGCTGGCTTTGCCATATTGCTGACGCTACAGGACTAGCTTGTAGCCATGCTGACCTCTGGGTTTTTTCTTAAGCCAATCTCTATGGATCAAAGTTGACTTTATCTTTGTCAATATAATCTGGCTGGAAGAATGTTCTGACTTGTGAGTGAAGTATTCAGCTTGTCTGCTTAGGTAAGGGAGTACAGGTGAGTTAATTGAAGTTTAACACCCCCTTGCCTTGATGTGGTCTCAGGAGGCTCCAGTCCTTCCACCTTCCTCAGCATTACTTGCTACGAGGGAAGGGGGCAGGGTGGAGCCACAGCACCATGGCCAGTCCACGGCAGCCACCAATCTATTTCCTGTCTCTACAGACTTGCCTGTTATGGACAGCTTACATAAACAGAATCATGCAATGTGTATATACCACACTTTATCCATTTATCAATATAAAACGATTAATGAGCCATTTTACATTCTTTTGTTATTCTAAGTCTGGTTTGTGTTTTACACTCACAGCACATCTCTATTTCAGACTGGCTGGATTTCAGGTACTCAGTAGCTACATGTGGCCCATTGCTACTACATGAGACAGCACAGGCCTAAGGGAAGAAAACTGTGGAAAGGGAAAGGGTGCAGAGGGAGAGTCTGGGAGGGTCAGAGAAGCAGGATGAAGCACCACGTGCTTAGGGAGGGGAGAGTGGCAGGAGGCAAGGCTGGAGGGGCGGGACTGGCATGAGAACCTTGGCTTTTGTGCCTGCCCTTTAGTGATGAAGATATGTGCCAGAGGTTCCTCCAGGAGAACAGCTGGAATATCTTTCGGAAGGACCTGTTGCGGCTGCTTGTGGAGCCTCGCCAAAGTCCACCATTCCCTCCAATCCGGCCCAAGAAGAAAGAGATCTACAACCCTAAGTCTGTGGTCCTGGATTTGTGCAGCATCAACAAGATGACTAAACCTCGTTATCCCATTTTTATGGCACCCCAGAAATACCTCCCCCCATTGAGGATTGTCCAAGCCATCAAAGCACCTCGGTACAAAATCCAAGAACTCTTGCCTCAGTATAAAAGTGCAGGGGTCCTTATTTAGGACAAATAAAGGATGGTGGATTGGCCACCGTGCTTTCTGAATGACCACCATGGGAGTTGTGGGAGTTGGAGGAGGGGGCCCTGGAGGGCTGAGCTGTGGGTCCAGAGAGGTGTTTGGGGGACAGCAATGGGGGCACAGTCTCCCTTGACGCTCGAGGGCTGGGCTGAGTGAATGGATGGTCAGAGGCTGTGTGTGGATGGGTCAATCACTGGGCATGGTCTCAGGATAGGATGGTCTTATCTCATGAACTGGATGTGGGGAAGGCTCAAATCAAAGTGGTCAAGACTAGGGTTGCGAATGCCTTTCAAGGTCAGACGGGTCATCTAAAGGAGCGCAGCAGCAGGGCTGGGAAGGCAACAGGGAATGGTGGAGATGCTGGGGCCCGCTGTATGAATTCCCCATCCAGATGGGGCAGCTGCCCCTTAGCCCAGTCAGTTGCTGTCCTGCCAGAAAATAATTCAGGCCTCATATTGTCAGTCTGTAGATTCTTCAAGAGAATCCAGAAATTCAGTATTTTAGATGATTCCTACCAGTTTTTAAACACAAGCAACTAATTCAGATTGTTTTCAAATAGTGTCAAACAAAACACATATGGGCCCGCAGGTGGTAGGCTGGGTCCCTGTCAGAGACAGAAGCAAGGCCGCAACTAGATGGGAGGAGGGTACAGGAGCCAGAGAGACGCTGATGGGACAGCATGACAGGAGCAGGCATCGGGTCCAGGATGAGGAGTGAGCAGCTGTGATAGAGGAGGTGGAGACAAGGAGGCTGCAGAGTCGAAACTAAAGAGGGCTCCTCACTCTCTCTGCTGGGTCCTTAATCTGGAGCTACCCATCACTGATCTGGACCTAGAACTCAGGGTTCCTGTCTCCAGCAGCCTCAGCACCACAGACCAAGCTCCAGATACCTGTTTCCCTTTGAGAACCCCATAGGTTAGCTTGAGAACACTGAGGAGCCTGGCGGAGGCCATGGCGGCACAGGAGCTTGCCCGCTTCCAAGTCACCCGCTCTGTCCCTGGCAAGGCATAGACTCTGAGGAATGCCTGGGCGTTGAGCTGGGCACCAGGAGCTCTGGCAGTCCCAGGTGTGCTTCTGTCTCACTGGACCCTCTTGAGCACTTTGATTCCTTTATCTGTACCTCCGTTTCCCCAGTGGTGAAATGAGCAAGTTGGACAAGATCAATGGCTTTCATGAATGGGGGTGAGTCTAGTTTGAAAAGCATATTCAACATTACAGTTTTGTTTGTTTAATTTATTTTTTATTTTTATTTTGAGATAGGATCTTGCTCTGTTGCCCAGGCTGGAGTACAGTGGCACGATCATAGCTCATTGCAGCCTCGAACTCTTGGGCTCAAGCAATCCTCCTGCCTTAGCCTCCAAAGTAGCTGGGTGTGCAGGTATGCACCACCACATGGGGCTAATTAAAAATTTTTTTATGTAGGGACAGGGTCTTACTGTATTGCTCAGGCTGGTCTCAAACTCCAGACCTAAAGGGATCCTCTCACCTTGGCCTCCCAAAGTGCTGAGATTACAAGTATGAGCCTGATACGGTTTGGCTGTGTCCCCACCCAAAGTCTTATCTTGAATTGTAATAATCCCCATGTGTGAAGGGCAGGACCAGGTGAAGATAATTGAATCATGGGGGCAGTTTCCCCTGTACTGTTCTCATGATAGTGAATGAGTTCTCGTGAGATCTGATGGTTTTGTAAGGGGCTTTCCCCTTCACGCAGCTCTCATTCTCTCTCCTGCTACCATGTGAAGAAGGATGTGTTTGCTTCCCCTTCTGCCATGATTCTAAGTTTCCTGAGGCCTCCCCAGCCATGCAAAACTGTGAGTCAATTAAACCTCTTTTCTTTATAAACTACCCAGTCTCAGGTATGTCTTTATTAGCAATGTGAGGACAAGCTCATACAGAGCCACTACACTGGAACTCTGTTGAGTTTAAAAGAAAACTGTTTTCATGTTGCATACCAGAAAAGAAGCAGCATGAAATTTTTCTCTCTGAAGGGAGTGTGGACATAAAGGGTAAAGAAGCAGTGGACTTACAGATCTTCACTTCCCTGGTAGCTCCAGAGGCAAGGAGTCAGGGATGTCTGCAGCAGTCCTGGAAAGGTCGACTGTGACCTACAAGAACAAGGGGTCGCTGTTCTGGGACAAAGTAAGTAGGAGTGTCTGATCATATTTAGGTATCTTTTTGCATTTAGGGCTGTGGCTCCAAGATGATTGGTGTGGGCTTCTTATTCATCCATTTGAAATTTATTTATTTATTTATTTTTGGAGAGACTCTTGCTTTGTCGCCTGGGCTGGAGTGCAGTGATGCAATCTCAGCTCACTGCAACCTTCCGGATTGAAGCGATTCTCGTGTCTCAGCCTCCCGAGTAGGTAGGACTACAGGTGTGGGACACCATGCCTGGCTACACACCTGGCTAATTTTTTGTATTTTTAGTAGATACGGGGTTTTGCTGTGTTGCCCAGGCTGGTCTCAAACTCCTGACCTCAGGCAGTCCACCTGTCTTGGTACTTCCAAAGTGCTAGGATTACAGGCATGAGCCACCATGCCCAGCCTTGAAATTTATTTATTGAGCACTGCAGAGAATCAAAGGGAGGATAAGATGCATTTTCTGTTGCCTTTTATTTTTTAGGCTGGGGTCACCAAATTCCTTTTAAATTTTATGTTTTTAAATTTATTTTTGAGACAAGGTCGCTGTCTGTCACCCAGGCTAGAGTGCAGTGGCATGATCATAGCTCACTACAGTCTCAAACTCCTGGGCTCAAACGATCATCCTGCTTCAGCCTGTCAAGTAGCTGGGATTACAGGTACGCACTATCATGCCTGACTAATTTTTTTTTCTTTTTTTTTGTTGTAGAGACAGGGTCTCGCTGTGCTGTCCAGATTGGTATCAAACTCCTGGCCTCAAGTGATCCTCCTGCCTCAGCCTCCCAAAATGCCAGGATTACAGGTGTGAACCACTATGCCCAGCCCAAACACTTTATGTAAGGGGTCACATGTTGAGCACTTATTACATGGCAGTCACCTTGCTGAGCATCTGACTGTGGAGTTCAGTGACCTGTTGAGTCCTGCAGTCTCTGCCACTTAATGGCTGTTGAGGATTAAGAGAGGTGGTATGTGTATAACAAGGTGGAAGATTTTTTTCACCAAGATCTCTGGGTCCTGCTTCCTGGGAAATAAGAAAATGCTTCCAGAATAACAGGCAGAACATGTTTTCTAGGGCAGTAATGGGTGAGAAAATAGCCTGGAAGAGCAACTGAGGGTGAGGGTACTGAGAAGGGAGAGAGACTCTGGGCTGGGCTTCAGGAGGTCTTGCGGGGAGCTGAGGAAGAGCAGAGTTCCTGAAGCCACTATTGACAAAAGAACTTGCGAAGGAGAAATGTCTGAAGAGGACTTCAAGGAGTCCTCTGTACTTTTCTGTGCAATGAGAATGTGTCCCTCTTTGGCATTTGTTTGAGAAACCAAGTGAACATTTGAATAGAATTATAGAATTAGGCAGTACTGCTCTATCTTTGAATCCAGTAACCAAGCAGGGAGTTGGCAGCAAGAGGTGCTTGTTATATTCAGTGTATGGTGTAAAGTCCCCGGCACAGTAAGTGCTCAGCACTCGCTAAGTGTTATTCACGTCTTTCGGACCAAGGTCAATTTGATCATCTAGAAACTCTCTTCCCCTTCAGTGGAATAGGAAACTAAGACTTTGGAAGGCTGAGCCCTCATAATCAGTGATAAAGGCCATCACTGAGTGGATTGGGGTAGGAGGAGCCCAACCCCCACACTCTTCTCTAGGTGAAGGAGCTCACGGGAACATGAACGGACAGCCTCTCAGGGGAGAGTGGAGACAGGGCAGCAAACCATACCAAGCGCTGTGTGGGGAGGGTACTGTTTGGAAAAAGAATGAGTGGGACAGTGTGGGGAAGGTAGGGCAGGGGGAGTGGGACTTGTGTGTAAGCACTGCCTAGCTTCCAGGCTGTGAGCTGCAGAATGAGCGCTGGTTCTCAAGGCTCCCTTCCTCCAACACACACACACACACACACACACACACACACACACATACACACACACATACATACACATGCACACACACCATATACACATACATACACATACACATATACACATACACACATATACACATATACATAAATACACATATACACATACTATACACACATACACATGCATATATACATACATACACACATACATACACAAGCAACAACATGGGATCAGATTCAGGCAGGAGACTGGGTGTGGTGGCTCACGCCTATAATCCTAGCACTTTGGGAGCCTGAGGCAGGAGTTCAAGACCAGCCTGGGAAACATAGTGAGACCCTGTCTCTACAAAAAATACAAAAATTAGCTAGTCATGGTGGTGCATGCCTGTAGTCCAAGCTACTTAAGGGGGCTGAGGTAGGAGGATTACTTGAGCCTAAGAGGTCAAGGCTGCAGTGAGCCCTGATCGTGCCACTGCTGCACTCCAGCCTGGGTGACAGAGTGAAACGCTCTCTCAAAAAAAAAAAAAAAAAAAAAAGAAAGAAAAGAAAGAAAAAAGAAGAAGAATCAGGCAGGGGAAGACATGACACGAGCATTTACCTGGGAGAGGAGTTCATTCAGAAGGAGTAAATACGATACCCCCTGGCACAAGTGTTTGGAACAAATTACATTTTCAGTGCTCCAGAGGTCCTCACTGCCACCTAGGCACAGATCCAAGGGTCCCGGAAGCCCAGGGTGATCTGCCATGCCTAAGAAGCCAGGGAGAAGGCCTGGGCTCAAGTATGGAGTACCCAGTGTGTGCCAGGCATTATGTGAGGCACTCTACAGAAGCCATCACTTACTCTGAAACTATTTCCTGGCAGCTAACTGGATGGCAGCATCCATTTGACAGATGAGGAGCCTGAGGCCCCGAAGGCAAAGCTCACTCAGCTACCAGGTGGTGGTTCCAGAAAATCCAGGAAAATCACACCCCAGCACCCTCCTAGTGAATCAGCATTGAAGTGTGTGGACAGTTACACCACCATT